CCACGCAGATAATAGACGTGAGTTCCTGGAGTCGACGGGAGTCTACCTAGGCTGAAAGGTACTGCACATACGGGCCAGAACTTCTGAACATCGGAACCTGCCCTCCTGCTTCCCTACGCGGCTGGACTCCAGAACGGGATGCCAGGCTGCGTGCACGCATACGTGTGTGTGGATGCGTGGATGGATGTGCGGCTGGAGGGACGGCTTCATGGATAGGTAGACAGACAGACACAGACGGACAGACACAAGTACTGGGAGGTGTTGCTGGCATCTACTGGGAGGAGACCAGGGATGCTGTTAAAAACCTACGGCGCACAGGACGGCCCCCCACCACACAGAAGGATTGTGCCCATCTGCTACGTCTGCCATCACTAAGTACCACGGGCTAGAAGCCCAGGTATGCAGGCGAGTGGTTCTGTCTCTGAATTCGGCCGCATTCTGAGGTGCTGGGGGCTGGGACTTGACCCCGTGACTTTTGAAAATCACGATTCGGCCCACGTCAACTTTCCCTGCCCCAAATATCAACAGAGCACGGAGGCGGGGGGGGGGGGGGGGGGGGGGGGGGGGGGGGGGGGGACGATTCCGGACCAGGGGTATGCAGGCGAGCGGTTCCTGCACTTTACTTCACTGCATCTCTATGCACACGCGAGGGCCCGGGAAGCCACCTTAAAGTCTCCTCGAACATGCGTGAGCCTTCCCTCGCTTTGCTATCTGGCTCACGCCCACCTCGGAGGGAAAACAAACCCGCGTGCACACTGCGGTGTGGAGGTCTACACAGGGCTGCCTTCCAGTCTTTGGAGGCATGTCTGGGTGATCGTTACAGCCGTAAACCAGCGCGTTCAGTCATCTGTCCCCAGCCAGGTAATGAAGGGCGTGAGTTATCAAACCTGAATATAACTGGATGGCAAAGGAAATGGTAACACTCTACGATGGACTGGGTGTTGGGGGTTCCTCTCCCCCAAAATTCATAGGATGAAGCCTGAATCTCCAGTGGGGCGGTACTTGGAGGGAAGACACTGGAGAGCACGATTCTGACACCAATGCCTATTTGTGGGTTTTCCCACAAATCTAACACCAGGTGGGTGTCCTGCAGTTAAACCCAATGCTGACACACATACCTGGAGTCAGCGTCGGATCTCACAGGGGAAGTCACAGGGAAGTCTCCAACGCTGTTCCTGCTACCATCAAATTAGATGGCCCCAGCAAGGAGAGGTTGTCACCAGAGCCTCTGACGGAGCTGGTATAGATTCGAGGTTCCCAGGACCCCCTCTTGGGTTCTGCTAATTTACTAAAGTAATATAGGGGCGCCTGGGTGGCTCAGTCGCTTAAGAGTCAGACTTTGGCTCAGGTCATGATCTGACAGATCACTAGTTCGAGCCCCACACCGGCCTCTGTCCTGACAGCTCAGAGCCTGGAGCCTGCTTCAGATTCTGTGTCTCCCTCTCTCTCTGCTCCTCCCCCACTCGTGCTCTATCTCTGTCAAAAATAAATTTAAAAAAAATTTTTTTAATTTACTAAATATATACCATGTATAAAACACATACAGTAATGTCTAGACTTCACAACATACACGTGTGACATATTAATATAATTATTAATCAGCTTTTGATGAGATCATGATGGAGCCCCCCCATGATGGGATTACTGAGCTTATAAGAATAGGCACCAGAGCCCCCACCCCCACCCACATGAGGACAGAGAGACAAAACAGCCACCTATGAACCAAGAAGCAGGCTGTCAGCAGGAACCGAATCCTTCTGCATCCTGATCTTGATTTTGGGCCTCCAGAACTGTGAGGGACAAATGTCTGCTGTCTAAGCACCCCCGTCTGTGACACTTTGTTACAGCGGCCAGAACAGACTAGCATCCTCTCAGGAAGGGTCTCCCATCTGCAATGTCCACCAAGAATTTATAAGTCTCTGACAGAGACAGTCCACTACCCTTAGGACTCACTCGGGAGGTCTTGGGTGCTTAAGTTTTTATTACCGTGTGCTGTTTACAGTTTGATCTTACTGAATACAAAAAACTACATATAACTTAACAGACTTGATGCACAGATGCGTACCAATCCATAAAGAACATAAAGCACACACAACATATAATAAAGTACAAAAGTATATGTTTGCGCACGCATATGTGAAAAGATACGCGTACTTTGATATATGCCCTTCACTGCTCCATCCTTATGTCTGAAGCCACTCCCAGGCCAGTTCTCCAGCTAAAGGAATGTTAAGCCGTGCAAGGAACCTTGCAGTGGGAGAGGGCGCCGTGGGCTCTCCAAACTCTCCACAGGCTTGCTAGTGCTGCCAACAGGGACCTCCAGTGTCCCTCAAGGCTTCCCTCCACACATCTCTTTGAGACCCAGCCCTGGCCCCCCCCAGCTGCTGCAGGGCCCCGCACAGGCAACCTGCAGAAAGGGCATCGTCCACCAGCCTCAGGCTCCCCGGGACCGGGTCAGAGCCAGGGAAGGAAATGACAGCCGCCCAGGGTGAACCGCAGGGCTCGGTGGGTTTCCAAACGGGACTTGGACGACAAGCGCCTTTCCAGATACGACACAGAGAGCAAACACACGGACAGAAAAAGCAAGACAGCAAGACGAGGAAGCTGAGATAAGCTGAGACATATCTATCGTTTTTGCTTTAGCATGCATGTTCATTGTGTGGGAGAGGATCCTGATTTTCAATCTGTACGATCACTTGTGGATGTGTTTTGGACGCCACCGCACTACAGTTGATTGGATCGTCTGCCGCATTTTAAACTTGTCGGGAAAAGTAAGACATCATCCCACGGGGAAAACACAATTTTGCAAACATAAATTGTAATTTGTGAAAGGAAATTCATCCTCTCTCTCTTCCCAGAAGCTCTGTTTCTATCTTTGACTGTTAGGAGAAGAAGCATCAAAGTGCATTTAGTTACATGCATAGAAACCACTTCAGGTGTGAACCTGTTTTCATTTTTCTCCCCCCCAATCTAGCTTGTCACAAACACGACAGTTCTTGGGATCTGTTTCTGGGGTTTTTTTTTTTTTCTTTTGTTTTTGTAAATGAAGGGATATCTTCCGTCATATCCAAGAGATATATAAAATTCAAAGAAAAAATTATTTGAATCACATTTTCACATCTGTGGAGAGAAGTCCACACGACCCCCTGTCCCTCTGCAACTGCAGTGATGTATACACGTGTGTCTATATATTACACGTATAATGTTGGAGTCCTAACCCCTAGGAGGCTCAGAAGATCATCTTTTTCGAAGGCAGAGTCTTTACATAGATAATCAAATTAAAACGTGGTCATTAGGATAGGTAATCCCTTATAGCTGCAGTCGTCACACAAAGGGGAAATTTGGACACAGAAACAGACCCACAGAGAGATGATATAAAGACATAAGAAGATGGGGCGCCTGGGTGGCGCAGTCGGTTAAGCGTCCGACTTCAGCCAGGTCACGATCTCGCGGTCCGTGAGTTCGAGCCCCGCGTCGGGCTCTGGGCTGATGGCTCAGAGCCTGGAGCCTGTTTCCGATTCTGTGTCTCCCTCTCTCTCTGCCCCTCCCCCGTTCATGCTCTGTCTCTCTCTGTCCCAAAAATAAATAAAAACGTTGAAAAAAAAAAAAAAAAGAAGACCATGTACAAGCCAAGGAGAGGCCCGGAACAATCCTGTCCTCAATGTCTCCGAAGGCATTGACCCCTGTTGGCTGTTTGTTCTCCAACCCCTGGCTTCCAGAACTGTAAGCAACATATGTGTGTTGTTCAGGCCACCCAGCCTCTTTGTTACAGCAGCTGAGCACAGTCCCCTCACTAACTGAACTGCCTTCTCTGTCCTCAAAAAGAAATCATAACCTGTCACAGCAACAGCTCTAAAAGACACGAATTAACTGAATATATACTATTTGCTAGTACTAAGGGATTGCTTGACCCGCGTGTCTCCTTAAACATCCATCTTTCATGCCCAAGGAAAGCGAGGCACAGAGACTCCTTGCCTATCATCTTGCTCCGCTTACCCAATCCACGCAAGTCACACCGGACTTTTGGAACTTCACCAGAAATACATCCTTAAGGTCTTACAGTCTCTGGAACTTTCTAACTTCGGCTTCCTTAAAGAGGCCCTATCCTTATGCTTAAATATGCATATGCAACGCCACCAACACTAAACAGAAACGGACACATAAAGGTATCTTTCAGAGTGGCCAAAAAGAAAAAAAAAAAAAATTTCCAGGTTGCATTCAGAAAGAATGCAAAAGGTTTAAAAAAACAAAAAACCTCAGAGCCACAAAGGCAGGTGAAGCATGAGCAGGCGAAGGCGGCAAGGCACATCCCTAATTTTGCTTCCTCCGTTTCCTATCTGATCGTTTTCGGCTGATTTTGGGAGGACGCACCAGCTGGGGATGCTCTGCCGGTGATGAAGCCAGGGGGACCGTAGACCCGGCGGACCCGACAGACCCGCTGGCCACTGCGCATGCGCCAGGCGGGGCCCAAGGGGCGGCTGGCGCGCGAAACAGAAAGGGGAAATCTGCGAGGGTCCCGGGACGACCAATCAGGGCTCGGACGGCTGCATAACCAGGCCATCTGGCTCCACGTTTACCGGGTGGCACGCGGTGATGCCCGCCTCAGCACCTCTACGGCCCTCCCCGCAACTGCCCCAGGGACCGTCCTTCGAGGCTCTCCCTCCGTCCTCCCACCCTTTCCAATCTCGTCCTGCATCTGCCCCCACATCGGCAGGTCGTCGCTGCGCTGCCCCGTTTGCGGGGGTGCATGCGGCCAAACTCGTGCCCGCCCGTGCCGCATCCCGGCTCCTCGGCAGAGACTGGGTGACCCTCTTAGACGCGCGCGCGCGCGACACAGAGGAGAGGCGGAAGCGCGCGTGCGCGGCTCGGAGCGCGCACTCGACGACTCGCCAGAGACCGCCAGAGGCGCGCGTGCGCAGTGCGGCTCGGGACGTGCAGGGTGGCTCGGGGCGCGCGTGCACGGAAGCGGCTCAGGGCCCGGAGGCTCGGGGCGCGCGTGCGCAGAGCGGCTCCGGGCTCGCGCGGAGGCCTGGGGCGCGCGGGCGCGGGGCGGCGGGCGCGCGCACCTCTCTCCGCCCCTACCTGGCCGTGACGCCGGCACAATGGCGGCTTCCGTACCCCCGCCGCGGCCCGTCACCCACCTGCTCTTTGACATGGACGGCCTCCTTCTTGGTGGGTAGCCTGCGGCCGCCACCCGCGAGGGCTGTCCGGGGAGGACGCGGGCGGTGGGAGTAGGGGGGGCGCAGGCTTTCAGGCCCGAGGGCGGCGGCGGGGCCGAGTCTGGGACCCCCAGGCGGGCAGCGGCGGCGGGAGCGCCGGGGCCATGTCAGGCCGGCCGCGCGCGGGGCTGCAGTGTCGACGCCGCCCGGGGCACTACTTCCGGTGGCCGCGCCGCGCGTGGGGACGGAGTGCGTGTGCGGGGGAGGGGCAGCGCGCGTGGGGGCGGCGCTCGGAGACCACCGCGCGGGAGTGAAGGGTCCTTCCCGCTGTGCTTGCCGGGAGCGCCGCCCTGCCTCAGTTTCCCCACGTGCGCATCAGCCTGGTGGGTCCCTGCCGGCCTGCTCCCGGGGGCCGTCGGCGTGGGCGCCGAGGTGCACGCACCTTGCTTGTAGCATCCCACCGGGCAGGGGTCCTCAAACCGGAACGTCTGGAGGCGTTGGGGGGCACCTTGGTAGAGGGGGATGTTGCTGGAATCGGGGGTGGGGGGGCTAGAGGCCGGGCGTGCTGTGGGGGCTCCCGCGGTGCACCAGAGCGCCCCACGCCACGACACATTATCCAGCCTCAAATGCCCGGACTGCGGAGGTGGACGAGTCCTCTTAAGTGGCCTGGCTGCCCGGAGTGACCTGCGGCTCCGGCATCACTTGGGGAGGGGCTTGGCTGTGCAAGAACTCCACCCCACCGTGCTTTTGAGCCCAAGGGCCTGAAAGTTGGATAAAGCACAGGGATTATCAATCCTTCTACAACGTGCTCTCTCTGGGGTTCGACTGAGAAATCCATGCTCATCAGGAAGTTCACCTGCCGTGAAAAGTTCAGGTAGAATTCGGAGAAGACAAACACCCAGTGCGTAAATGCGGAGAGCACTGTCCTGAGGGCTACCCAAAGCCTCCACATCCTGTTGCATAACAGTATTAAGTTACTGTGTTCTGACCTCATAGCCTCCAGAAGCCCTCACAGAACTGTAAAAATGCCTGCATAATTTACATGGGCTGCTGACCTGGTGGAGGTGTGCATACATTAAGGGGCTCGTAGCCTAGAACCCTGTAGAGGAGGATATGTGCATTCACTAATAAACAATACAACTCAGAGAGGTTAAGTCACTTGCCCAAGGTCACACAGTGGATAAGGAACAAAGCTGAGGAATGATTCCAGATCGATCTGATTCTAAATATAAATGATGTGTTCATCTTAAACGGTGAGTATGACGTCCTTCCCCCCCCGCACCCCTCCTTGCCCTCTGCACTGGTCCTATTGCTAGGTGATTCAGTAGTAATAAGACTGATTTTTTTTTTTTTTTTTAAGCCACAGACTAGAAACAGGCACTTTGAAACCAGATTAATTCCTGTAAATGTATAAAATAAATAAATAAGTAAATCCCCATAGAGGTCACCAATTGCAGAGAACAGTGCATGTAGCTCCTAAATCTGAAATGACTCCATTTCAGAAACCTTCTGGGATTCATAAGTATCATTGGTAGACAGGACTTTTCCTGCTCAGGTGGTCAAGAAGTTAAGTTGTCAAATAAATTCCTTATCCTCTAATGAAAGGCCCAAAGAACTGTTCTGGGAGTCTCATGAATATTAATGCAAACTGAGAGGTCTCATTAAAATGTAATTTATTAAATTTCTAAATGAGCTGCATGCTTACCTCCGACTCCCAATGCAAACATAGCTGCTCCCTGAAGCCAGGAATGTGGCTTCTGTCACGGGACCTGCAGGAGCAGTTATGAGCAGGGGTCTCCACTTGCCAGTTACACCAAGCGAAATGGTTTGCCCTTTGCAACTGTCATCCAAGCCTTTGAACTGGTCAGAGAAGCAAGGATTAGTGTCCTTTGGGAAGATAAGACATGGCCCTTTTTGGTTTTTTTTCCCTCTTAGTGTTTGCCCCTTCTTTCAGATTTCACTCTGCTTTGAGGTAGTAAGTAAGGCTTTGCAGAACTTCCTCAGAAATTCACTCGTTCCGTTCCTTTTACAAAATGTCTCGTATAAGACACTGCTTTCCAAAATGTACTGCTCTGTCTCGTGCGGTCTGGTCAGTTATGCTGGTGTAGTTCATTCAGTCTGTCTGCTGTTTGCAGCACACTGTGCTGTCCATTTGTAACCAGTCCTTTTGCGGTAGGTTTGTTAGCACGGTGAATGCATTTTCCCCTGCAAGTTCCGTTTGTCAGCCTAGCCTCCTGTACTGCTGTGCTCAGGGAAATACGGTTCAAAACAATTAGTTTCAGGAGGCAATGCTGATATCTGCGGGGAGGCTTGTTTAATCAGAGGAGAATGAGGAAGTAAATAGAAATTTTTGTGGAAAGGTTGACCACACCGAGGTACTATTTCGGACGTTTGAAATGGATGACACTGTTGTCCTTTGCAATAGAAACGACACTTTTGGATTCTGTTTTTGTTGACACAAGGTAATAATCAACTATGATCTAGGTAATAATTTTGTCTCTCAGATGCCATTTAGAGAAAGAGGAGAAGGGACTGAAATTGTTTATCAACCACGACAAGATTTCGAAGGAAGATGACAGGTATTCAATAGTGTCTCGCCTTCTGGATGGGGAAGATTATCCGGTTCGTAAAAAACTGAAATTAGGACCAAAGTGGGGCGCGGGGGGGGGGGGGAAGCCTGTCGTTTTTAGCAAACAGGAAATTTGCTGTGCAGAGCAGTGCTCGTAGAAATAGGACCTGCATAAAATGTCCCACAGCAACGCTAAAACACACATGACCAACTGACCTGCGTAACACGTATGAGATTTTTTTTAAGTGGAGACCGGAGCTTCTTTTCTCAGTGGTGCCCTATCATCTGGACACTACTGGGGTTGTGACACTTCCTCAGGAAGGTAGGGCCGAACAAAGCATTGTCAAGATGCCTCCCTACGCACACGCATCGCCGTTGGCTGGAGATAATCATCGCATAGCATGCTCTACATTTTGGAACCCCCGACCTTGGCTGTGTGCCCTGGGGTCTCGTGCTGGGTGAGGGGGCAGCCGTGCTCTGGTACGTTCACATTCTTTCTGCCCTGCTCCCCTGGGAGCTGACCGCACGTGCTCAGGCTTTAGCTCTCCTTGCTAGGTGAAACTTGGGTTCCTTCCGTCCTTGCAGAGAAGTCAGCTGAAGTTCGGAGGGCAGTCCAAGGCCTTGCAGCTGAGGAGAGCCCACGCCCAAGGCCTTGCAGCTGAGGAGAGCCCACGCCCAAGGCAGCGCAGACTCTGAGTTTCTCACTTTGGAATAAGATGCTGCTGGGGGTCTGGGGAAGGACCCTTTGGGAAGAGTGGACTCTAGACCATGTTGGAGAAAACTGGCCATTGCTAACAAAGCAAACCAGGTATGGGCCGATGCTGCTAAACTGTCCCCATCGGTGACACTTTCTAGTAGATCTGAACTGCGTCCTCCCCAGGTTTGTGCCTGGTGTTAGTGGTCAAACACGTCCACCTAAAATTTGTGCTTAGAGGTGGTCGTCGGTCGCCCACCACAGCTGCTCCTCTTTCTAGAATAATTGAGAAGGGATTGAGATCCAGGTTGCAGAATCCTGCTGATGACAGACTTTTGTCCAGCGGGCGGTAGGACGGAAACATTCAGCCAATCCCTGTGAGTGCGGCTGGGCCCTGCCCTGTCCTTGCCTTCTTCTCCTGCATCGCTCAGCCCCGCACTGTGTGTGTTTGCGGCTTCACAGACTCTCATCATCGAGGGAGGACAGCACTCGCACTTTGTCACAAAGCCGTTTCTGCTCTTTTCCTCCTTTCTTCTGGAAAAGCAGTGTGTTGGGCGATATTTTGGCCCCTTTTGTCTTTCTGATGATTTGCCCTTCACTCTGATTCTTTTCTTTTTAAATTCCCGTGATAGGGGCGCCTGGGTGGCGCAGTCGGTTAAGCGTCCGAC